GGAAGTGAAAAAAAAAGAAAGAAAGAAATAGACCGTGCGATTTTCCTTCCTTAAATAGAACCTGGGTCTCCAATCTCACAGCTCGAGATGCTGGCGCTTAGAATCCCTGCAGCTGTGGAGACTCGCAGTGGGTGCAGGGACAGCTGTAGTGCGTGCCAGCGGCGTTCTGCTTTTGAGAGTGGTTCCTCTTGGGAGCGCTGTGGCAGGGGACAGAGAGCCCCGGGGACCCACACCGTGGGGAAGAGCATAGGCAAACCAGGGAAGGTTGAGAGGATGGGTTCTGATCCGAGGCGGGGGCTTGGGAACCCCGGCCCGGGTGGGAGGAGCCTCAAGGGTTCCATCCAGCCTGAGCCTTGGGATGGGACTCGCACCCTCTGGACCCAGGATGTCGTTCTCTTGTGGGCCTGATGTCAAGTGTACCACACTCCTCCAGCACTTAGAAAAGCCTCTCGAAAGAGGGGGAGGTGACAGGAGCGATTCAGAGGCAGAGACTCTCTTCCTCTTTCTGAAACCACGCGAGCCATTTCTTTTTCTTTTTCTTTTTGTTTGTTTTTCGAGACAGGGTTTCTCTGTATTGTTTTGGAGGCTGTCCTGGAATTCGCTCTGTAGACCAGGCTGGCTTCGAACTCACAGAGATCCGCCTGCCTCTGCCTCCCGAGTGCTGGGATTAAAGGCGTGCGCCACCACGGCACGGCCCACGTGAGCCATTTCTTGCTTGTTTCGGTAGTTCTAAAATACCTTTGTCATTTTCACAGCCTTACTTTGGCTGCTGGGGTTTGTTTTATTTGTTTTTTATATATAGCATTTATTTATTTATTGGAGGGGGGCACATCTCTCTCCTCCTATTGCATGGAGCCTGGGGGTTGAACTCAGGCTGTCAGGCTGGGCAGCAAGCGCCTTTTCCCAGTCAGCCATCTTGTCCCCTCTGCCAGGGGTTTTGAATTTTGAAATAAGTCCCTTCAACCAGCATCTTCCCAGAATGCCTCTGGCGGTCTGTAGCCCAGGAACAGTGATGCCCATCAGTGATCCCAGCCTCTTGACAGGCTCAGGCAGGAGGATCCCTTGAGCCCAGACGTTTTGAGCAGTTTAGACTGGAATTAGATTAAATTAAAGGCCACCGCTGCCTGGCCTAGTGCTTTGTTTTGGTTTGGGTTTTTTTTTTGCTGTTGTTTGATAGCCCAGGCTGGCCTTGAATTTGGGTTCCTCGCACTCAAGGCCTTCCCAGTGGCTGTAGTTACAGGGATGAACCACACACCTGTGTCAGATAGGCTTCCAGGACCGATCCAGCCAACCAAGCTTGGTGGAAATGACACGGTGTGACCTCCAAGGCTCAAGGCTGGGTCACAAAAGCACAGGCAGCCGCCAGTCCGTTTGCCGGGTGAGCTCTTGGCTGCCGTGTTCACGTCCTGGGGCAGCCATGACAGGAGGGAGCCCGGGGTCCGGCCCGAGTCCGACGTGCTCGCTCCCTAGTTCAGACACTAGAGAACCCCTGTCTTGTGGATCACTTAGCTTCCTCCTCCCCCATCCCCCCCAAACCGCAGGTGTGGTAAAAATAAATCATCGTCGTCCTCTGAAGCCACCAAGCCTGCGGGTGATTTGTTAATTGGCGAGAGGGAAACCGAGACACACATCTACAGGTGACAGAGCCGCCTGCTCTGCCAGGGACCTCCTGTGGGACCCTTACCTCCAAGCCACGCTGAGAGTGACGCACACAGTCTCGCTCCTCGGGGCAGTTCATGACTAAAGGGAGTCACACGGGCCTGAAGAGTTCCTGGAGCGGTAGTGACTCACGGAGTGGCTCTCACTCTGGAGAGAGTGGTTGTGGCCAGAGGAAGACAGAAGTTAGGGAAAACCGTCCCAGACTCTCTCCCTCTCCCTCCCTCCCTCTCTCCCTCCCTCCCTCCCTCCCTCTCTCCCTCCCTCCCTCCGTCCCTCTCTCTCTCTCTCTCCTCCCTCTCTCCCTCTCCCTCCCTCTCCCTCTCTCCCTCTCCCTCTCTCTCTCTCTCTCCCTCTCTCCTCTCCCCTTTCTCCCTCTGTCTCTCTCTCCCTCCCTCCCTCCCTCTCTCCCTCCCTCTCTCTCTCTCTCTCCCCACCCCACACCCCCACTTCCCCATTCCCCAGGACAAACCAGGGGGCATTCCTCCACAATCTGGCTAGCCTGGCCTCAGCTGCCTTCTTCCAGACTGGGAATGAGGGTTGCCCGCCCATGTGCCCGCCCGCCTGCCCGCCCCTGCCCCTCTGTCCTGAGGACACCTTCCACTTGGACCTGAGGTGCTTTCATTCAGTCTGCAGTCACCCCTACTGTTTTCATAGTAGGCTTCACGTGGCCTTTAACTCGATATGTAGCTGAAGATGACCTCAAACTCCTGATCCTCTTGCCTGACCTTTGGGATTCTGGGATTAAACTCAGTTTATGAGGCTCTGGGGCATGTAGTCACATTGTCCCAGAGACCAGGGAGGAGGCCTTAGGTCAGGACATAAACACCTGCTGGATAGCCCTTAGATGTCACACAGGATCCCGTCTCTCAGACAGTCTCACTTTCTAGGCCCCTTCCCAAGCTCTGCTGGGCCCTCTGTCCCTCTGTAGATACACAGATGTCACCACACGGCCCTGGGTCATCACACCTACAGCACCAAGTTGACTTGATGTATGAGGTTGTGCGCAACCTCAGGGTGGTCCCCGTGGCTCTGCCTACCCCCAAACCCTGTCCTCTCCTCAGTCTGCCTCATTGGGTCCCCGCCCAGCTGCAGCTGGGTGAACTAAGACGAACCTTGCTGGCGGATGCCGGAGCAGCTGTGCCGCAGAGACCAGGTTAGAAGTTCCTGTGGGCTGAGGAGAGACCAGAAACCACCGACCCACACCACAGTCAGAACTGGGGATCGGGAGGGTCTGTTGAGAGTCAATGAGGAACACATTTTGCTATTTGGGTTTTGGGTTTGGAGTGTTACTTCGGTTTTTTTAAATTTATTTTTAGTAACTGGCTTTTTGGGAGTTTGGGTTTCTTGTTTGTTTGTTTTCTCTCTGAGTTAAGGTTTTACTATGTAGCCCTGGTTAGCCTGAAACTCACTCTGTAGCCCAGACTGGCCTCTGCCTTCTGAGGGTTGGAGTTAAAGGCATGTGCCTCCATGTCTGAATGGTTGTTTGGTTTGGTTTTGAGACAGAGTCTTATGTAGCCCAGGCTGCCCTTGAACTTGCTTTGTAGTTGAGGATTACCTCAGACTCGTGAACGTCCTGCCTCCAACTCCCAAGTGCTAGGATTGTAGATTGTGCGGCCCCCATTTGCAGTGGGTACTGGAGGCTGAACCCAGGATTTCGGTTACTCTAGGGGAGCAGCATGCTACCCACTGAGGTTCAAATTCTGGTGGTTGGACAAAAGCCAGCATTACTCGGGAGCTGTGAAGGAGGTTCCCCTCTCGCTGGCAGAAGGAAAATGACTATCTGTGGCGCCTATTAGCATTATACCGGAGAGCACGCTGGCCGCGAGGCTCGCTCTGTGTCTCAAGTGCCCGGTGCGCATTTCAGGGTCCGCGCTGGCGCCCTAGCTGTCCTCTGCCCGGCTCACTTCCTTCCGCTTCACCCTGAACTTCTCAAGCTCACAGGCCTCCCTTCCTCCCGCTGCTCATTCTCCTCAAGGCCCTGCTGCCGCCTTTTTGTCTTCCTCTCTTAGTCCTCTCTTTTGGTCTCCGTGGTCTTCATCTCTGCCCCCCCCCATGCCAGGTCCGGTGTCCTCGCCACGTTCAGTCTGCATTCACTCCCTGCTCTCTGCTCTGGAGTCTTCCAGACGCCCTTAGCTGTCTCCCTCATATCTCAGAAAACAAAAAACCCTTCCCTTCAGCCATACCTGAGAGCAGCCGTGTATAAAGGTCAGTCTATGAACATCTGGTGTTGGAACCCTCCGTTTTTGCCCTGCGCAAACAAGGGAGAGACATCTGCCTGCCTGAAGGAGGGGAGCCTCACACCCACGGGCGACACAAGGCAAAGACACTAGGTGGGGATTGCTCTCAGGGCCAGCCACCTGGCTGCCTTCCAGTCCGCAGGCTCGAAGCTTGCAGCAACCTCCGGGCAAAGGCAACCGTGCTCCACCGGCCGCCCAGGCTAAGCCATGGAGGTAGAGCCGGCCCCTCAAACGGGGGGGGGGGACCCCGTCTCCCAGCCAGCCTCCGACTCGACTCAAGAGAGACTCCTCAAGTCTTGCACGGATGCTCCGGCCTGGAAGGGGGTCCAGCTCCTCGCTGCACACCTTCCCGTTCTAAATGAAAAGTTCAGAGCCTGAGGTCTCAATCAAGGTCACGCACTGACTCCCCCGGTGAGATCCAGGCCACTTTTGCTGTTGGGTTTTTGTTTTGGGGGGGGACGGTTGAGACAGGGTTTCTCTGTAGCTTTACAACCTGTGCTGGAACTTGCCCTGTAGACCAGGCTGGCCTCGAACTCACAGACTCACTCTGCCTCCCGAGTGCTGGGATTAAAGGCGTGCGCCACCAACGCCCGGCCCTACCCCAACTCAAAACTGGGAGAAATGGATCAAAGGAAAGCAGACCCTGCTGGCAAAGCCCACGCCTGTGAAACCGCCCCTGAAAATCAGCCCTCATTCTCCAGCGGACAGGACAGATACGCACGCTATTCAGACAGACTCGGTCAGGCTCTCTGCTTCACCGTGTAATCTAGCACTTGGGCAGAGGACTGTCGCAGGTTTTAGACTGCCAGCCTGGGATATAGAGGGAGACTTTATTTCAAAAACAAACAAACAAAAATACCCCCTCGTAAGCAAGTCCATTTTCACTGCCCTTTCATGGCTGGGAAACTGAAGTCCAGAGAGGTTAAGGGATCTGCTCGGGGTCACACAGCTGAAGAATAGAGGAGTCTGCATTGGAAGGTTCCCGATGTGGCAGACCATGACTCTCACTCGCTCACTCGCTCGCTCGCCTGCTGGGGCGGCCAGTGCTCTGAGGAACACCAGGATAGGAAAGGAGGCACAGCGCAATTTCAGCCACCAAGGAGGAAGAGGGCGAAGGCTTTTATTCAAGGATCTTGTCCAGGCCAGCAGCACCAGGAGAAGGGAGAGCAAATGGCAGGGCGAGACATGGAAAACACCAGATGGGGAAACTGAGTCTGGAGACGTGTGGGGGCGGTTTGGGAGTCACCCAGTCTCATCGCAGTGTTACTAAGGGTCTGCCTCGTGACTCCTGGCAGGTGTCAACTCACTAGATTCATACAGTAATGTTATCGGTAACGCCAACACTGGGAGGCTGCGGCAGGAGTCCAGCCTGGGCCACACGGTGACGAAACAGGACAGGACAGGACGGTGCAGAGGTTCCTCGTCTCGTGTTCTCGCCACGGCCATTTCCGGTTTAACTAGAATTTGATCTCCTTGATGGGGAATCCTGTAGGAGTTTACCCAGCTCTGTTCTAGGAACCAAAGATCAGGATGCCCCAGCTAACTTAGTTTCTGTTAAAACTGGGAGTTCATGTGGACGCCCCTCGGGCTAAACACTTGTCTTAGTCTCCTGCTTGCTTCAAACTGCTTCAAACTGCTCACTCTGCGAAGGCCCCCGGTCCAGCTGTCCAGCAACGTGCCTGGATTCAGTTTCCGCCTTTAAAAACCCTACTTTAGAGAGGGAGGGGAGGGAGGGAGGGAGGAAGGGAGGGAGGGAGGGGAAGGAGCCCATGTTAATAATGATGATGGCGGTAGTTGAGGCAGGCAGATCTCTGAGTTTGAGATCAGCCTAGTTTACAGAGTTCCAGGACAGGTTTCTTTCTGCTACACAGAAAAATTCTCTCTCTCTCTCTCTCTCTCTCTCTCTCTCTCTCTCTCTCTCTCTCTCTCTCTCTCTCTCTCTCTCTCTCTCTCTCTCTCTCACACACACACACACACACACACACATACACACGCTGGGCTGAGCCTTTATTCCCAACATTTGGGAGGCAAAGGCAGGCAGATCTACATAATGAGTTCCAGGTCAGTCAGTGCTGCATAAGTGAGTCTCTATCTCAAAATAATAATGACAACAGTGTTTAGGAGGTCAAGGGGGTGGTGATGCCATTCATCTGTAGTGCTTGCCTAACACAGAGCATGCTCTGAATTCTATCTGAATAAAAACCAAGGAGGTGCCGGGCGGTGGTGGCGCACACCTTTAATCCCAGCACTCGGGAGGCAGAGGCAGGTGGATCTCTTTGTGAGTTCGAAGTTCGAGGCCGGGCTGGACCGACAGCCTCCAAAACAATACAGAGAAACCCTGTCTCGTAAAACAAACAAACAAACAAAAAACCCAAGGAGGTGACTCACGCCTACAATCCCAGCACCTGGGAAACAGAAGCAGGAAGGAGGACCAGGAGTTCAAAGCCAGCCTAGGCTAATGTGAGGTCACTCGCAGAGTTCTTTTCTTCTTCCTATTTTTGTTGTTGTCTTTGAGACAGGGTTTCTCTGTGTGAAAAACCTCAATACACCGCCCCCCTTTATGAGACTCAGAAGTTCGCCTCAGTGGAAAATTCCCCAAGGTCCCTTCCCCTAGGCAGGGAACAAGGTCTGATTAGAAAGAACATCTGGTCCAGAGTGCCGATACAGGACTCCGGCAGGCTGTTAAGATAAGTTTAATCTTGACCTTGTGAGTTCTCCAGGAAGGATGAGTTATGCCCGAGTTCTAACAATACCCCTATTGCTTGCCCAGATCTGCACCTGCAGTAGCTCCACTCCTTACAATACCCCTATTACTTTGCTTGCCAAAAGTATGTATATAAAAAGAAAACTGTCCTAGAGCCCGGCGCGTTCAGTTAGCTAAGGCTGCTGAATCGCCCACAGACGCCTGTGTAAACAATAAACCTCTCGCGGTTTGCATCCAACTGTCTGGTTATTGAGCTCGGGACGTCAACGGGGTATTCAGCCTGAAGCCTGATAACCTCAGGTCTTTCATGTGCAGCCCTGGCTGTCCTGGAACTCACTCTGGAGACCAGGCTGCCTTTGAACTCACAGAGACCCGCCTGCCTCTGCCTCCTGAGTGCTGGATTAAAGCCAGGAGCCGCCATCTCCCAGTAGCAGTAAAGTCCTTGCTCAGTTCACTCAGGGCCTGGGTTCCATTCTCAGCACTAAATAAATACAAGCAGCAGCCACCAGCCGCTGCTGGCCTTGTTGGCATCGTTATCTAGCTAGCAGCAAAGACAAGGACCACGTATGGGCAGCCTGGCCTCCCCCCAGAGTTGTGAGGTCCAGGTCGCCCAGTCTGTGAGCTGACTCAGGCGGAGGGTTGTTTTAGAGCTATGGTGGTTTTTTCCAGAGATCGTGATGAGGCAGCAGAAATCTGGGTACACAGCTCAGCCATCTGTGCTACAGATGTAGAGCCCTTGGTTCTGGATAAGTGAGAAGAGAGAGTCCCCACGCCCAAGAGAGGGAGACCGACCGGCCTTGGGGTTCCATGGCCAGCTGTGGGGAGATCCCATGAGAGGCCTCCGATCCTTAGAGGGGACTGGGGTGGTCCCACGGCTGGGTCAACAGGCCCCAGGGTGCCAGCGAGGTAGGGTGAAGGGGGTGGAGAAAACCGGGCGTTTTCTCAGTGGAGTCCCTGCAACTCTCAAGCTCCGGATCCTCCTGCCTCAGACTCCCGGATGTCAGGTTATGGTTCAGACCTCAGCAGCTGGGCACAGCGTTCTTTGTGGTAGCACAGTTAAGTCACACAAACCACAGGAAGATGCCCAGTTGTGAGAGGCGCACATCCTGCTTAGAGAGAGCGCATCTTACGAAATACAGCTAACCCCAATGACACCGACAGATTGGGGCAGAGCACTGTGGGGGACACTGGGTTCGAGAGAGCAGGGACCTGTAGTCACACTGTGTGTGTGTGTGTGAGACTGTGCATGTGTGCATGAGAGTGTGCATTGTGTACCTGTGTGCGTGTGCACGCAACAGCGTGCGTGTGCAAAGAGTGCTCGTATGTTCATGTTATGCACGAGTGTGAGCTTGTACACATGTGTGCACTCGAGAAAGTGTGTGCGCGTGCCACGCGTGTGTGTGAACGCTCATTTGTGTATGTGTGCGCGTGAGTATCTGTGTGCGTGCGTGTGTATGCGTGTGCGTGTGTCTGATCCCCTGGAGCTGGAGTTACTGGTGGTTGTGAGCTACCCAGGGTGGGTGCTGGGAACAGAGCTCAGGCTGTCAGAAAGAGCCAGCAGCAAGCACCCCTCCCCCACTGCTGCCCCATCCACCAGAGTCTTAAAAATATTTTAAGAGGTTTATTTATTTATTTATTTATTTATTTATTTATTTATTTATTTATGGTTTTTCGAGACAGGGTTTCTCTGCGTAGTTTTGGAGGCTGTCCTGGCACTCGCTCTGTAGACCAGGCTGGCCTCAAACTCACAGAGATCCGCCTGCCTCTGCCTCCGGAGTGCTGGGATTAAAGGCGTGCGCCACCAACGCCCGGCTTAAGAGGTTTATTTTTATTTTATGTGTTTCACCTGTGATCAGATAACGTACCCCAATAACAGGTTTCTCTGCCCACACAGTAAGCCAGATCAAGCTGAATTTAAAAGACCGGGTTTATTGTACCAATAGTCTTGGGGCCGGGCGTTGGTGGCGCACGCCTTTAAACCCAGCACTCGGGAGGCAGAGGCAGGCGGATCTCTGTGACAACCTCCAAAGCAATACAGAGAAACCCTGTCTCGAAAAACAAACAAACAAACAAAAATCATGGGTGACTTTCCAGCCCCCAGAGGTGCATCAGGGGAAGGGGGCAGGAGAAGCCACACCACCTGTCTAGAGGAGGGGGCTTAGATACCCCGTGGGCTCGGTCTTGAGCTTGGGGGGAGGAGCCTGGACTTTCGGTGGTCTTTCTGAGGGGGCGGGGTCTGGAGAGAGAGGAGTGGGGCCCTGGGGGAGTTTCCAGCATAGTAACTGCAGGAACACTACGTGCAGGGTGCAGGCCGGGAGAGGCGGGCATCCCATACTCCGGAACTGGTTGTGAACCCTTGTGAGCCGCCCCGAGGGTGCTGGGAATGAATCCTGGTCCTCTGTGTAAGAACATGCGCTCTCAACCACAGAGCCCCGGCGCCAAGGATCCTTTCTATAAGACCACATGGGCAGTGTCAGGACGTGAGTGGGTGGGTAGGGGTGGGAAACTGGGGGGAGGGGGCCGCCACCTGTCCTAAGGCTCAGTTTCCTCATCCGTGGTGAGGACTGGCTGTGTAAGATCCATTTGCCCTCAGAATGGACCCCCTCACCCACCCAGGCACCCAATAACACGCAAACAGGGGAGACCCTGGTTTAAAAACTCCCTCATTGGATTGCGAGGCCGAGGCAAGCCTGAGCTACAGAAGACTGCGGCTGAACAAAAACAAACAAACAAACAAAAAAGACAGAGGCTGATGGAGGAGGCTGGCTGGCTGAGGCAGGATGGTTGCCGGGAACCAGAGGCTAGCCCGGGATTCGCAGTGAAACCCTGTCTGCATACCGCCCCCCCCCCCCCCCCCATCTAGAAAAGAACCGACAGGAAGTCTGGCTGGCTGAGCGGGCTCTTACCCAGAGTCCCCTAGTGAGGGGCTGGGGGCAAGGCCAGCATGCCTAATTCTGTGTGCTCCACCCAAGGCTACGTCCCTAGCACTAAGGTCGGTGTGTGTGTGTGTGTGTGTGTTTAACATATTATTATCGTTGTTGCTCTTAGCATTGTTATTATTTTGAGACACGGGTCTCTCTATGCAGTCCTGGTTGTCCCGGAACTGGCTTTGAACTCACAGAAATTACAACCCCCACCCCTGTCCCCCACCCCCACCCCGCCTCCGCCTCTGCCTCTGCCTCCCAAACCCTTGGATTGCAGCGCTGCACCGCCAAATCCGGCAATACTTTTTTGTTTTGTTTTGTTTTTTCGAGACAGGGTTTCTCTATATTGTTTTGGAGGCTGTCCTGGAACTTGCTCTGTAGACCAGGCTGTCCTCGAACTCACAGAGATCCGCCTGCCTCTGCCTCCCTAGCACTATCTGGCCTAGATTAGGTGTTCTAACACCTTTGCTTATTAACATTTGGGTTGGCAAATCCTTCAGTGTGGGGCTGCGCCATGCACTTGAGGATGCTTAGCACTGCACCTGGTATTTGCAGACTGTGTCAGTAGCATGTATGCGCTTTCCTGGTTTGACAGCCAAAATGTCTGTAGAAATTTTGTTTTTGTTTTTCGAGACAGGGTTTCTCTGTATTGTTTTGGAGGCTGTCCTGGACCTCGCTCTGTAGACCAGGCTGACCTCGAACTCACAGAGATCCGCCTGCCTCTGCCTCCCAAGTGCTGGGATTAAAGGTGTGCGACACCACGTCCGGCAGTACATGTTTTAAGATGCGGAGGGCTGCAGAGATGGCCCAGCAGCTGAGAGCCGCACCCCACCCTCCTGGACCCTCTGTCATTCTTGGAGTCTCCGTCCCCTCCATCTCCCCCTCTGTCTCCTGACTTGTGTTGCTGTTCTCTGGTCCTGTCCCCTCCCTTCTTGTCCTCCCTTCCTCCCTCTGCCCACCCCCCATCTCTCTGCTCCTCTCTCCCGTCCTCACCCCCACCCCTCACGTCATCCTTCCTTCCTCGGGCCGGGGAAGCCCCACGCGATGGGCCTCGCCCACAGTCCATCGGGCCGGGTGAGGCCCAGGTGAGTCACCAGAAGGAAGGAGTGGACATTCCTGCCATTTTTCTACAGGTATCGGTGGGTGATCTGCCACCTCCCTGTGCCCTCCTTCAGCTCCTCGCTGGAGCCTCCCCAGAGTCGGCACCAGACAAATGAGGAGGAGGGCGTGGAGAGGGAGACACAGCCGAGGAGGGGGGCGTGGAGGGACAGACAGCTGAGGAGGAGGGCCTGGAGAAGGAGACACAGCCGAGGAGGAGGGTGTGGAGGGACAGACAGCCGAGGAGGAGGTCGTGGAAGGACAGACAGCCGAGGAGGAGGGCCTGGAGAAGGAGACACAGCCGAGGAGGAGGGTGTGGAGGGAGACAGTTACGCAGAGGCAGATGGAGGTGGCCCACCACGGTAATGCCAGCCATCCTGAACCCCCTGCCTCAGCTTCCAGAACGCTCCAATTCCAGACTGTCCATCGCCATGGCTGCCGTATTGCTGGGGACGGAACCCAGAGCTTCATGCAGTGCTAGGCAAACCCTGTGCCTCGCCCCAGCCCAGCCCGGTCTTCAGCCCCCACACCACCCCAAGAGGGGCCCCGTTTTCCAAGAAAGGAAACAGAAGAACTCTGTTGGCCCAGGGTGACACAGCCAGGGAGTGGTCCATCCTGTCCATCATCAGCATGACAACCGCTGACCTCAGACTGCCTGGCTCCGCCCCAGCTTCCTTGTCACTCAGGAAGAGGAATTTGGGGTCCCAATGGCTTGTGTAAAACGCAGCTCTCCCCTCAAAGGGAACGGGAGAGAGTTCTAGAGCCAAACATGAGTGACCGTGGCTGGGAAAAACACAGGTTCACACTACCCTAAATACCATGCTCCCACACATGACAGCACCATAAGGTGAAGCTGAAGTTTTGTTTTGTTTTTTCCAAGACAGGGTTTCTCTGTGTAGCTTTGGAACCTGTCCTGGAACTCACTCTGTAGACCAGGCTGGCCTCGAACTCACAGAGATCCGTCTGCCTCTGCCTCCCTAGTGCTGGGATTAAAGGCATATACAACTACTGCATGGCTTTCTTTGGTCTATTGAGACAGGTTTTTTTCTGTGTAGCCCTGGCTGTCCTGAAACTCATTCTGTAGACCAGGCTGGCCTTGAACTCACAGAGATCCACCTACCTGTCTCTACCTCCTGAGTGCTGAAATTAAACCTGTGTGCACGACTACTGCCTGGCCAGGAACCTACTCTCACTCCTTGAGTTATGACCTCTTAGGAGAAAGCTTTTATTTGGGACTTTTCTTTTTCCTTTTGCTGTATTTTAAAATTGCTAAATCAAGAAGTGAGGGCGTGGCTCAGCAGTAGAGTCCCTGCCTAGAATCCCCCAGTGAGGGGCTAGGGGTGTGGCTCAGTGGTAGAGCCCCTGCCTAGAATCCTCCAGGGAGGAGTTGGGGGTGTGGCTCAGCAGTAGAGCCCTGCCTAGAATCCTCCAGGGAGGAGTTGGGGGTGTGGCTCAGCAGTAGAGCCCTGCCTAGAATCCCCCAGTGAGGGGCTGGGGCGTGGCTCAGTGGTAGAGCCCCTGCCTAGAATCCTCCAGGGAGGAGTTGGGGGCGTGGCTCAGCAGTAGAGCCCTGCCTAGAATCCCCCAGTGAGGGGCTGGGGCGTGGCTCAGTGGTAGAGCCCCTGCCTAGAATCCTCCAGGGAGGAGTTGGGGGCGTGGCTCAGCAGTAGAGCCCTGCCTAGAATCCTCCAGGGAGGGGCTGGGGGCGTGGCTCAGCAGTAGAGCCCCTGCCTAGAATCCCCCAGTGAGGGGCTGGGGCGTGGCTCAGCAGTAGCGTGCTTGCCTATATCGCGGAGGCTTTGGGCTCCATCCTTCTTAGCTCCGGCCTCAGTGACTCAGGAGACTCACGCTGTGAGATCACTACTGCACAGGTAGCTGCCCATCATGCATTGCCCTCTGCTCTCCCTGGTTCCCACCCGGCAGCCACACCGACCTGCTTGCGATTCGGTGCCCTCAGGGCCCTGGCACTGAGTGACTTCGCTCCGTCTCTCCCCTAGTCTGTTTCCCTAAGGACCCACTAGACTGCTTCACAGCTTCAGTGAGACCCCCTCACGGACGAGCTTTTCTCTCCCTGTTCCTCCCAACAATTTTCCTCCCTTGTCTCCATCGGATGGGAAAGATCAGATAACGCATGCATCCTGTGTCTTAACGGCAGTGAGGGTGGGGTCCCTGCTTCGTTTCCTGGAATACCGTCCCCCCCCCCCCCGAGTCCCGCACAAGGGAGTCCTCTGTAAGGAGCCGAAGAACTTAGTGAACCCTCTGTTTGGGAGTCAGTGTTCTGTCCTACATGTTTCCCCTGCACAAATTGCTCTGCTGGGCACGGTATGGTAACGTGTCTGTGATCCCAGCACTGGGGAAACTGAAGCAGGAGGCTCTTGAGTTCCAGGCTAGCCTGGGCTGCATAGCAAGACCCTATCTGGTGAAACTCAAATAAAATTGAAAATATAAACTCTGAAAAGCCAGGCATGGTAGAGCAATGACTTTAATCCCAGCACTTGGGAGGCAGAGGCAGGCGGATCTCTGTGAGTTCAAAGCCAGCCTGGTCTGCAGAATGAGTTCCTGGACAGCCAGGGCTGCACAGAGAAATCCTGTATATATGTGTGCATTTATTTATTTATTTGGTTTTTACGAGACAGGGTTTCTCTGTATTGTTTTGGAGGCTATCAGTCCAGCCCGGCCTCGAACTCACAGAGATTCGCCTGCCTCTGCCTCCCGAGTGCTGGGATTAAAGGCGTGCGCCACCACCGCCAGGCATATGTGTACATTTATATATGAAAACTCTGGTTCATTAGAAGTAGTCAGCCTTTGCTGCTTGGTGTTCTCTCTCTGTCTCTCTCTCTCTGTCTCTCTGTCTCTGTCTCTCTCTCTCTCCCCATTTTGTTTTGAGACAGGGTTTCTCTGTGTAGTCCTGGCTGTCCTGGAACTCGCTCTGTAGACCAGGCTGGCCTCCAACTCAGAGAGCCTCCTGCCTCTGCCTCCAGACCCTTACCACACCCCTGCCTGAAAAGAACCATCTCTAGGATGGTTGATGTTCCGTTCCTTCCCGTACAGAGTCCGCCGCAAGCCCACAGCCCCTTGTAAGCAAACTCCTGTGGTTCTCCCATTCAGACCCCTACTCTTGTCCGCACATCCAGCTGCCCAAGGAGACCTGGGATTTGAACCCAGCGAGTGAGGCCTCAGGGTTGTGACCTCAGAGACCCCAGGTCAGTCCTCCCGGGGAGGGTAGCTTCAGTGGGCTGGGGAGGAGGAAGGGGAGGCTCCCACACAGCCTGGACTGACTCACTCTTAAGTAAACGGTGGGCGGGGCCCTGGGGCCACAAAACTGTCTCCCTCCCAGCTCTCGGACTAGAGCAGAGGTGGAGACCCACCCAGACGCTAGCTAGCATGGGCCTGCAGAGGCTGCTGCTGCTGCTGCTGACCGCCTGGGCCCCAGGTAAGGGCTGGGTGGTGACAGCCGGGGTGAGTTAGAGGGAGAGGAGCCCAGCACCCAACCCTTCCCCTCCCGCCCAACTGCTCTCGGGGTGAGTTCTCCAGCCCCACGTGGCTCTTTCAGACGCCCGCGGGCATTCATTTAGCAAACCGATCCCTGGCGCCGTCCCAGGCTTCCCTGCAAAGTCCCCGAGATGTCAGATAGCTGGTGCGTAACTGCGCAGCTAGAGGTTGAGTAACTCCGGCGTGTGACCCCCCCCCGCCCCCGCGGTCTTCTCGATTCGGTGGGGTCCCGCTTCGGGAGTGAGAGGGAGATCGGCTCCCCAACGTTTCCAGCGGACCCAGGGCCTGTCCCCTCGAGTACGTTTGGCTTTTGCTACTCCTTCACCTGCTTCCTCCAGGAAATGTGTGTGTCTGGGGGGGAGGGGGGACGGTGTTGAGAAAGCAGAGGAAATGGAGAAGGGATTGAGTCAGGGTTTGGCGCGGTGAATAACCCTCCGGTCCGCGGGAGGCCGGGGGATGAGTAACGGGGTGGGAAGGGGACCTCCGCGGGGAGCCCGGGGTGGTCAGGGAGCTACAGGGGTACGGGTGGGGCCACAAAGGGGAAGGGGAGGGCTCTGAGTGTAGAAAGGGGACCTGGCGCGGAGGAGACCGGCTCTGAGTTGCAGGCGGGACCTCGGGGACGCAAACCGGAGGGATCTCGGGGGCGCAGGCCGGAGGGACCTCGGGGGCGCAGACAGACAGGCGGGACCTCGGGGGCGCAGGCCGGCGGGACCTCGGGGGCGCAGACAGGCGGGACCTCAGGGGCGCAGACAGGCGGGACCTCGGGGGCGCAGACAGGCGGGACCTCGGGGGCGCAGACAGACAGGAGGGACCTCGGGGGGCAGACAGACAGGAGGGACCTCGGGGGCGCAGACAGGCGGGACCTCGGGGGCGCAGACAGACAGGAGGGACCTCGGGGGGCAGACAGACAGGCGGGACCTCGGGGGCGCAGACAGACAGGAGGGACCTCGGGGGACAGACAGACAGGCGGGACCTCGGGGGCGCAGACAGACAGGCGGGATGGCTCTTACTGTAAATTGGAGCCCGGGGAGGACAGCGCCGCCCGCCCGCGGACAGCAGCCCGGAGTGGGGCGACCTCCTGGGGTCAGAGCTGGCTGGCTGTGTGGCTTAGGACAGTTACTTAGCGTTTCTGTTCCTGGAACGCGTCTCGGGAATCGGGGCGGATCCAGAGCAGGACAGGCTGGAGCTGTGGTCCTGATTTAGAACCCAGCCTGTCTGGGAGGCGGGCTTGGGACGGGGAGTGGCTCCGAGCCCGGGGCGGGGTCAGGGAGGGGCTAACATTTAGGGGCTGTGGTGGGTCTATGACAGTGCACGGGGGGGGGGGGGTCGCATAAGACCATCGGAAAACGCAGACAGTTACGATCCGTAGCGATATTTGCAGGTGCGAAGTAGCAACGAGATTTATGCTTGGGGCGGTGGGACGGGCACCCCAACATGAGGAACTGTGTTAAATGAAGGGCTGCAGCACTGGGAAGGTTGAGGTTCACTGGTCTATAATATTAAAGTGAAGTCCGGGCAGGGTAGTCTACCAAGAGCGTGGTGGGGAAGACAGACCCCTTAATCCGTGGCTCTGCATTCAGGGTCAGCCGGGTTTCCGTAGAGTTCCGGATTACACATACGTAGGGAGACCGTTTCAAAACCAGATGATACAGAGCTAGGAAGAGAATTCAGGAGAGGAGTCAGGGGGCGGGGCTGCGGCAGAGGTGGGAGCCAGGGGCGGGGCTAGAATGTTGGGTGGAGCTATAGAGAAGGGAGACTGGCAGGAGTTGGGGGCGGGGCTAGCGCCTGGGTGAAGGGTGGAGCTAAAGGGCGGGGCTAGAACCCCGGGGCGTTGGGGAGGGGAGAAGAATGCTTTTGGAGGTCACCCCAGTTGACGCTGTCTTGGAGGGCTGATGGGCGGCTTTAGAGCTCCGGGATGAAGCTCAGGCTTCGGAGCGGGCACTGAAGAGAGCCCACGGAAGGGGGGTGGAACCTGGGACTCGAGCGGACCAGAACTGACCGAGGCCTTATATGGGGGACGTAGCACGAACGGCGCGTGGTGCACCAGGCAGGCTGAGGCAGGAGGATTGCTGTGAGTTTGAAGTCGGCCTGGACTACAGAGAGAAAGAGAGAGAGGGAAGGAGGGAGAGGGGTGGGGGACCGGACCCAGAGACCAGTTTGGCAGCATGGTGGAGTGCGAGCATCCTGGCTCTGAGCCTGTTGACCTCCCCCCCCCCCCAGCCTCCCAGGGCCTGCGGTGCATGCAGTGTGAGGATAACCACAGCTGTGTGGTGAAGGAGTGTGCCCTGGGCCAGGATCTTTGCAGGACCACCGTGCTCCGCGAATGGGAAGGTAAGGTCGACACCAGCGACAACTTGGTAGGAACAACAGTCGGAAGACCTTCTCTCTCCAGATAGTAAGGAAATGCAGACATTTAAACATCTCATGAGGCTGGAGGAACGGCCCAGTGCTTAAGACCAGCGGGAAACGGCCCAGTGCTTAAGACCAGCGGCTCTGCTTGGTGGTGGTGCACGCCTTTAATCCCAGCACTCGGGAGGCAGAGGCAGGCGGATCTCTGTGAGTTCGGGGCCAGCCTGGTCTACAGAGCGAGGTCCAGGACAGCCAGGACTACACAGAGAAACCAAAAAACCAAAACAAAACAAAGCAAAAAAATCCTGTCTGAGAGAAGGCTAGAGAGACAGCCGAGAGGTTAAGATGCCCGCTACTGAAAAGTCGGGCACGTTGGTACACGCCTGTAACCCTAATACTGGGGAGGCTGAGGAGGGGCATCAGGGGCCCTGAAACAGTCTGATCTACATAGCAAGACCCTGTCTCCAAAAAGTTAGGGTTTTTTTTTTTCTCTTCCTATTAAGGCACTTCCCTGCTGGTTTTATTCACCTTAGGAGAGAGCTGGAGATGGATCCAGAAAATCTAAATGATGTGTATGGGGGGGGGGGGATAATTCTAGAGAATGACAGAGTTGGCCCAGGCAAGAAGACAGGTCCACAGGGAGTGTCGCTGGGGATGGGTGACCCTGAGACCTTGGGTGTCGTGGGCTGGCCGCGCCTGGGGACCCTCTGGGGACTAAAGCTGAACTCCTCACAGACGGTGACGAGCTGGAGGTGGAGGTGAGAGACTGCGCCCATTATGAGAAGACCAACAGGACCATGAGCTACCGGGTGAACTCAAAGATCATCAGCCTGGCCGAGGTCGTGTGTGCCACGGACGTGTGCAACAGGATGAGGCCTGGTGAGTCGGGTGTCCTCGCCACCGCATGCCAAAGGGCTGATCCTGCCCCCAGACCTACATCCATCACCCCAGCGCCATCCATCATCCCAGCGCCAAGCCTGTTCCTTTTTTTTTTTAAAGATTTATTTATTTATTATGAATACAACACCCTGCCTCCATGCATGTCTGCAATACCAGCAGAGGGCACCAGATCTCATCACAGATGATTGTGAGCCACCATGTGGTTGCTGGGAATTGAACTCGGGACCTGTGGAAGAGCCCGTTCCTTACTCCAGCACCCGGCTCATCCATCTCCAGCCCTGCTCCCCTGTCATTTGTTCCCAGCAGGGTCTCCCAGGTCATCTCCCTCCCCATTGAGATAAAAATCACACTGTGCAGCCTAGACTGGCTGAAAAGGGGACATGCTCCTGCCTCAGCTTCCCGAGGACTTGGATTACAGCCTTGAGCTGCCACACCTTGCCCGTCCCGGGGTTATAACCGCATCCCTGGGCTGTGGGGTGTCAAGCGTGGCCGTCCTGTATAAGATGACACATCCACCAGGCTTGGTGCTGCTTACCTGTTATCCTAGCTGCTCGGGAGGCTGATGCAGGAAGATTACAAGGTGAAGGTCAGTTGGGACGACTTAGGCTCTGTCTCAAACTAAAAACTGGAAAGGACCAGAGAGATGGCACCCTGGGTGAAGGTGCCTGTTGCTCAGGCCTTGTGACCTGAGTTTCATCCCTGCGTGAATCCGTGTAATGGTGGAAGGAGGGGACTGACTCTCTACAAAGTAGTCCTCTGACCTACACACACACGCCATCATCATCATAATAGCAATACACTTAAAGTTTTTAATCTAAAAAAGTAGGACTGGGAGTGTGGCTTAGTGGTAGAGCTCCTGCCTAGAATCCCCCAGTGAGGGGCTGGGGGCGTGGCTCAGTGGTAGAGCACCTGCCTAGAATCCCCCAGTGAGGGGCTGGGGTGTGCCTCAATGGTAGAGCCCCTTGCCTAGCATGTGTGATATCTTTGGGCAACCTTAAAAAAAAAACAACAAAATAAAAAGGATGATCCTTGACCTGGAAATCGTGGAGAGGGTGTGAGAGGAAGGAGACTCTTCCATAAGCCTTTTGTTTGTTTATTTGGTTTTTTGAGACATGGTTTCTGTGTTTTTGGAGGCTGTCCTGGAGCTAGCTCTTGTAGACCAGGCTGGTCTTGAACTCACAGAGATCCGCCTGCCTCTGCCTAAGTGCAGGGATTAAAGGCGTGCACCACCACCACCTGGCTCCATAAGCCTTTGGATTGACGGCTTTAGGTGTGGTCATTGGTCCAAGTGCACACAGAGAAGAGCAGGGAGGATGAGGTCGGCACTCCTTGCCGCTCTTCCTGCAGAGTCTGGGGCTGGATGGAAATTGATTACTAAGGGTCTGTGTCCCAGTGTTCTCATGAGGGAAGAGTCTCTTTGTGCCTTTGTGCCTGGGCTGTCTCCTCCTCCATCCTACCTACAGACCATCTTCTGGTACAAGGCTGAGTCTTGTACGTGTATTTTCCGTGTGTGTGTGTGTGTGTGTGTGTGTGTGTGTGTCTGTGTCTGTGTGTGTCTGTGTGTGTCTGTGTGTGTTTGGGTGTGTACACATGCTTGCCATATTACCTGTGAAGGTTAAAGGACAACTTGTAGGAGTTGCTTCTCCTGGGTCTTGAACACAGGTCTTCTTCAGGTTTGGCTACAAGCATCCTTACCCTCTGAGCCATCTTGATGACCCTGGATTTTGTTTGCTTGTTTATTGGTTTGTTTTTGTTTTTGCTTTTGAGACGAGGTTTCTCCATTATGGAGCCCTGGCTGTTTGGAACTCACTATGTAGACCAGGCTAGCCTCAAACTCACAGAGATAGATCCACCTGCCTCTGCCTCCAGTGCTGAGACTCAAGGTGTGCGCCGTCTCGGTTGGCTTTTTTTGTTGTTGTTTCTTAGATGGTCCTCTCCGGCATCGAACTTGCCATGTGGCTGTGAGTGGCCTTGAATACCTGGTCTTCCTGCCTCCACCCCCTGAGTGCTGGGATCCCAGGCGGCCACCAGCCACACAGGCTTTATTTGGTGTTGGAGACGGGACACAGAGCTTTGTGCATGCTAGGTAAGGACTCCACCAGCTACACCAAGTCCCTAGACCCTTTTTTCTATTTTTTATCGCCTCCCATTTCTATTTTTGACAAATGATTCTGCCCTTAGCAAGGGAGACAGATTCGAAGCCAGCTAGAGTATGAGGGGAGAGCTTGCCCACGAGAAGGGTAGCCAGATCCGGGTTCCGCTGGGCGGGAACGGAGCTTGGGCAGGTAGAAAGGGAGACCTCGGTGGTGCGTGACCCGAGCATAGAAGCGTCTCCTTCCGCGATGTCAGTGCGATGCTTCTGCGGGTGACAGCTATAAAGCTGGACAAAGGACAGAAGTCCCGGAAGAGCACTAAGAAGCAGAGGCAGGAGCTGGGGGCCCTGTGACTCTTGGAGGAGAGACGGCAGACACAGAGAGTTTCACAGGTGGCATGGCTCGTCCCCGAGGCACGTTCCAACTCACCGGCTCAGCTCTGTGAAGGGAGACAGAGGCTCGCGAGACTGAGGCTCGCGAGACTGAGACTGTCTCCCTGATTTGGAGACAGTTTTCCCTCCAGTTTTTTGCAAGTGTGCATGAAGAGGAGAGGCGTCCCAGCAGCACTGACTTGAGCTTCTCCGGGACACTGGAGAGCTGCGGGTAGCCATTTCAGAGCCCCCGAGACCCCAGCCAGGGGGCGAAGGCAGGGCTGAAACAGACCAGCCCTTCGGGAGCTGAGCATGGTTGTGTACTCGTGAGGGAAGCCGTTGGGAAGGTGGCGGGTTCTAGAACAGACATTGATTGATGTAAAGGGCAGAAAAAAAACTGAGAGCTGTGTGTATGTGTGTGTGTGCACGCGCGTGTGCTTGCTTATGTGTGCTTGTGTGTGCGCATGTGTGTGGTCATGTGTGTATGAGTGTGTGCGCATATGTGTGTAGGTGCCTGTGTGTGCAAAAACGTGTTCATGTGTGTGTGCCTATGTGTGTGTGTGATCACAGGTGTGTGCGTGTGTGCTCATATGTGGTCATATGTGCACGTGTCTGCACTCCAGTGTCTGTGCGTGTGAATGTGTGCGCATATGCCCACGCGTGTGTGAGTCTGTATGCGAGCATGTGTACGAGTGTGTGCGCGTGCACAAAGGGAACAGAGGAAGTTAGTGTCTTCCTCTGTCACTCTCCGCTCCATTCTCTTCAGAGAGCGCCTCAGCAGGCTTGAAGCCAGGCTGGCAGCCAGCAAGCCCGAGGCACCCTCCCGGCTCCACCCCCCCAACACTGGGATTACAGGCCTGTGCAACTGTAATTAGTTCTGGGGATCAAATTCGGGCCCTCATGTTTGTCCAACAAGCACCGTCTGAGTGGCTAAAAAAAAGGAACGAACTGCAGCCCGGCGTGGTGGCACACAGCTATAATCCCTGCGTGGGAGGGTGCAGTCGAAGGATTTCCATAAATTCCAGGCCAGCCTGGTCTACTTAGCAGGCACCAGACTGCAGAGTACGACCTACTCTCGGAAAAACAGTAAAATAAGAACAACCCAAATAAATTAAAAGGGGGGGGGGAGGTTTATGTAACTCGCAGTTTGAGAGATGGTAAATCCTCAGCCAGCAGCTGGCTCCGGCCAGAGCTCTTTCCCCGACACGCACACACAGACCGCACCCATCCTCTCAGCTACATACCGAGGGAGAATTCAAAACACAGCAAACCGCAGTCTGGGGTGGCTCAGTGGTTCAGACACTGGCTGCTCTCGAGAGGACCCAGGTTCAGTTCCCAGCACCTACATCAGGCAACTTGCGGGTCTGTAACTCCAGTTCTGGGGGGGCTCTACCGCCCTCTTTTGGACTCTGCCGGTACTGCATGCATATAATACACAGACCTAAGTGCAAGCAAAACACCCATGCACGGCCGGGCGTTGGTGGCGCACGCCTTTAATCCCAGCACTCGGGAGGCAGAGGCAGGAGGATCTCTGTGAGTTTGAGGCCACCCTGGTCTACAGAGTGAGTTCCAGGACAGCCTCCAAAGCAATACAGAGAAACCCTGTCTTGAAAAACCAAAACAAACAAACAAACAAACACCCATGCACATAAAATAAAATGAAGGGGAAAAAATTAAAAACAGTTTTCTCTCCTGAGAGTCAACTCAGAGTCCCTTCCAAAGTTAATTTATTAATTAGTCCCCAAAGCAATGCCATGAATGACCAGGCAGATTCCCTCTAGCTCCCTGCCTTAAAGGTCCTAACCCTCTCACTCTGCTGCTCTGAAGACTAAGATTCCAATCCATGACCCTCAGGGAAACAAACTTATATAAACCATGTCAGAGGCAGATAGAGACTCAGGCATGTGATGCCGGGAGAACCAAGAAGCAACTGAGTATACAAGTCTGCATGCCAGACATTTGTTTTTAGTACTGAAAATGGAAAGGAGGGTCTTGGTTCTGTACTGCTGAGCCACACCTCTAGACCCTTACTGGGGGATTCTAGGCAGGGGCTCTACCATGGAGCCACACCCCCAACCCCTCCCTGGGGGATTCTAGGCAGGGGCTCTACCCCTGAGCCACGCCCCCAGCCCCTCACTGGGGGATTCTAGGCAGGGGCTCTACTAACAAGCTGCATTCTCAGCCCTTGATTTTTTGGGGGTGGTGGTGGTGCAGGGTCTCACCATGTAGCAGATTCCTTTATCTCCAGCTATTTCATCCAATAGCCATTCTTATCTTTGCCTTTACTTCTTGGATGGTCCTCCTTGCAGTCCCAATTAACCATCCACGGGTGGATGACCCAGAAGGTCTAACCCTCGCTTGATTGATCCCCGCGATATTCGTTATTTTGCTCAAGGCTTCGAGCCTAGGCCAGTTGGACCTGTTGCTTTTCCCTGGAAACACCATGTCACCCTTGGCCCAGGCTTTGGCTCACTCCATCCTCCAGCCTGGCACAGCCTCTCCTTCCTGACCCAGGAGACGGGAGCTGTGTCTGAGCCCAGGCAGCCCACTGGCAGGCTCGAGGCAATTAGGTGAATCATTCCACCCAGAGCCAAATCATCTATCTTGTTCAAGGAAAAATGCCTAAAAGGCCCACAGGCCGCTCCTTCCCACAAACATCCGTGAAAACCAAAAGCAGGTCTTCCTCCAGGCACTGCAAGACATTCCTGTAATCCCTAGACTTTGGTGGCTGAGGCTGGACGATTGCGAGTTTGAGGGTAGCCTGGGGTACATAGTGAAACTGGGTCTCAGAAAAAAAATCCAAACAGGAATTTCCGGCACAGCCACACTGGCTGCCCCAAAATCTGGGGGCAGGGGAGTTCCTTTTTGAGCACTTCTTCCCAGGATGCTCTTCTGAATATGGGTCATGTGACCTCCTTCAGGCATCCTCTTAGGTCCTCCCCCCACACACCCTGCGTCTTTTATTTCCCCATCGCTCATTCACAAATCTCTCTCCAATCTGACAAATTATGTAACCTGTCATGAGGAGAGAACCACGTGTGAGACTAGGGCAGGATCCCCTAGTGAGGGGCTGGGGGCGTGGCTCAGGGGTAGAGCCCCTGCCTAGAATCCCCCAGGGAGGGGCTGAGGTGTGGCTCAGTGGTAGAGCCCCTGCCTAGAATCCCCCAGTGAGGGGCTGGGGGTGTGGCTTGATGGTATGGCATCTGCTTGGAGGAGGTGATAAATAAGACGATGAAGATTGGGGAGGGTTAGGAAGGACGAGGACCAAAGGAAGGGTGTTCTAGAGAAAGACAACAGAGTATAGGAAGGTCCGGAGGCCAGTGAGGGTCTGCGTTGTGAGACTGGGAAACCAGTCTGGAGGAGAGGACGGGCTGCGGCCAGGGCCCAGTGGGCCTTGAATGCCACGATCAGGAGCCTAGGTTTTATTCTAAGAACAGTGGGAGCTATGGGGGCGGCTGAGCGGAGGAGAACTGTGTCGGGGCCACTAACGCCTTCCTTCTAGGGCCCTGTGAGAGAACTAGGGTGAAGGGTGCTGGTGGCCAGGCAGAGGCTGATACTGAGGGGTGTCCGGGGCTGAGAGAGGCGGGGTACGTTCTAGAAAGGCTTCGTGACTGACCGCCTCCAGTCCAGGGGGGGCGAGCAAGGGGCGTTCTCCGCAGGAGCTGGGCCTCCAACCCGCCACCCCTCACCTGTCTTCCCAGGAGCCCGAAGGGTTGCCTTTCCCCCGGGCCGCCACCTCGAGTGTATGTCCTGCAGCTCTCTGGATCAGAGCTGTGAGAGGGGCCGGGAGCAGAGCCTGCAATGCCGCCACCCCAGAGAACAGTGTGTTGATGTGGTCACCCTGCAGAGCGCGGAAAGTAAGTTCTCACCCGCCGGGAGTCCTCCTGTAGGCTGTACCTAACAGAAACCGTCAAACCGCTGGACTGTAGGCCAGAGGCACCTTCGTTCACATGCACGCACGCATGCACACACGCACGCACACGCATACACGCACGTACACATGCACGCACGCACGCGCACACGCACGCGCACACGCACACATGCACGCACGCACGCACACGCGCACACGCACACATGCACGCACGCACACGCACGCGCACACGCACACATGCACGCACGCATGCACACACGCATGCACACGCATGCACGCACGCACACATGCACGCATGCACATGCACACGCACGCACACATGCACGCACGCACGCGCACACGCACGCGCACACGCACACATGCACGCACGCACACGCACGCGCACACGCACACATGCACGCGCGCGCACGCACGCACACGCACGCGCACACGCACACATGCACGCACGCGCACGCGCACACGCACACATGCACGCACGCACACGCACGCGCACACGCACACATGCACGCACGCACACGCACGCGCACACGCACACATGCACGCACGCACGCGCACACGCACACATGCACGCACCCTGTGACTGCAAGTCCGGGGTCACCGGCTCAGCTTGAGAGTGACAAGGAATCCAGTCACCTCCTCGTCACATCTGACCATTGCTTTCATTCTGGTGACCGTATGGCTGTCAGCTCCAGACCTGGTGCCAGATAGAAGAAAAGGGGAAGAAAGGTCTGTCTCCCCTAACCCCCCCACAAAAAACAAACATGCATACATCTCCGGTCCTTCTTTTTTTTTTAAGATTTATTTATTTATTATGAATACAACATCCTGCCTCCATGTATGTCTGCAAGCCAGGAGAGGGCACCAGATCTCATTACAGATGGCTGTGAGCCACCATGTGGTTGCTGGGAATTGAACTCAGGACCTCTGGAAGAGCAGCCAGTGCTCTTAACCTCTGAGCCATCTCTCCAGCCCTTTTTTTTTTTTTTTTTTTTTTTTTTCCCAGACAGGGTTTCTCTGTATTGTTTTGGAGGCTGTCCTGGAACTCGCTCTGTAGACCAGGCTGGTCTTGAACTCACAGAGATCCGCCTGCCTCTGCCTCCCGAGTGCTGGGATTAAAGGCGTGCGCCACCACCGCCCGGCCTGGCCCGGTCCTTGTTTTTGTAAGGATTCTCTCTGGAAATCCCTCAAACACATGGAGTTCTGTTTATCATACGGGCCTCCTTTATCATAGAACAAAGCGAGAATGGAAGATGTAATCTTTTGCCTAGAGTTGAAGCTACCCTAAGTAACAAGAGGCCCCCGATAAAGCAGGGGTGCCCAAGGGGACAACCCCACAGCCGGCTTCTTACCAAGCCTGACGTCTGCCTCTTGCAGGGAGCTTGAAGGATGAGAACTACACCAGAGGCTGCGGCACTCTTCCGGGTTGCCCGGGCATAGCCGGTTTCCACAGCAACCACACCTTTCACTTCCTGAAATGCTGCAACTCCACCCACTGCAATAGCGGCCCAGGTGAGGGGCGGGGCGGGGTGGGGCGGGGCGCACGCTGTTGGCCCTGTCTAGAACCGCCAACCTTTTCTCTTTGCCAAGTCCTCTCTGCGTTCTTCACCTCTTCCCGGAAGGCTGCCCTGGCCCATGAGGCCGGTTCAGGGCCACGGTTTTCAGCACACGAAGCCCGCTCAACCCCACCCCTGCCCCACCCCGGCTCCGCCCACCCCGGGTCAGAACTGGGAGTCCAGGGAAGGTGGAGCCAGGCTGCCCTGGCCACTGTGGTGTTCCCAACACAGTCAGCTTGAGGTTAAGGCCACAGGGCACGAGCTCCTCTTGCAGAGGACCCAGGTTTGAGTCCCAGCACCCACATGGCTGCTCACACCTGTACTACAGTTCCAGGGGATCTGATGCCCTCTTCTGGACTCCATGGGCACTGCATACATATGGTACACAGACCCAAGCACTCGTACACACAAACTAAAATAAATAAACCCTTTTTTCTTTAAAGGTGTTAAAATCATGCAAACCCCTGCTTTTGATTCCTGGGGAAGCCGAGTCCTGGCACGTGTCACATGGGTCCTCAGGCTCAGCAGCAAGCCCGCCCCTGTACCCACTGAGCCGTCTCAGTCCTAAACATTATTCAACTTAATTTTAATTTGAACCCCCAAACAGTCTCAGCACTCCAGAGGTGGAGGCAGAGGGTTCGGGAGTTTGAAGTCATCCTCCACAGAGTGAATGTCAAGGATAGCCTGGCGCATGCGACCCCGTGAAGCCAGACGTGATGGGCAGTGCCTTTAATCTTAGGACTGTGGACACTCTGCCCAACAGGAGTTCCCGTACTGATAGACATCCTCCGCACTGGGGCTGAAGAGATGCCCAGCGTGCAGGGTGGGTACGGAGCTGGGTTCAGTTCCCAGCTCCAACGGTTGGGCAGCTCGCAGCCACCTCTAACTCCAGCTCCGAGGGATCCCGTGCTCTTCTCTGGGCTCTGCAGGCATCTGCGTGTACACGGTGCACACACACTTATCATTTGGTTTTTAAATCTGCATTTATTCTGTGTGGATGTAGGTTCATGCACACAGGCGAGCGCGCCATGGTCCATGTGTGGAGGTCAGAGGACGACTTTCAGGGGTCACGTCTCTCTCTCCTTCCACTATGCGGGTCCTGGGGATAGAACCCAGGTCATCAGAGTTGGCCTTGAGACATCTCAACAGCCCTAGGTTTAAATTAATTGATTTAAACCTTGAGAAACATAGGTAGCCCGTGGCTGCCACAGTGAACAACGTCGCTCTGTATGGTAACTTCTGAGAGGGTAGGGCTCGTTTCATAATACATAGTTAGGGTCCCCCATCAGACCTAGCTGAACCTAGTTCTTGGGGCGCAGTCCTAGAGACCAAGACCCCCGAAAGAAAGTGTAGTTCCCGCACACGGCCACCAGGGGGCGCCCTAGCCTCTCGGGCTGAGCGTGGGCAGATGATGGATGCGTGAGTCCCAATGCTCATCTCCGGTCTTTTTTTATCCTTAAGTTCTGACTCTCCAGGACTTCCCACCGAACGGCTTCCGGTGTTACAGCTGTGAGGGGAACAGCACCCACGGGTGTTCCTCCGAAGAGACTTCCCTCCTTGACTGCCGGGGACCGATGGATCGGTGCCTGGAGGCCACGGGCTTAGATGGTGAGTCCCTGCTGGAAGGGGACCCAGTGCTCCGCCCAGACCGATTGGCAGGTGGGCGGGACCTGACCCAGGCGGACCTTCCTGTGGAAAGGTGGCATTTGCCCGCAGGAAGGGCGAATTCCGTAAGAGGGTTTGGCCCTGTCAAAACAACTTATTACAGCTTAACAGAAATCATTTTTGAGACAGGGTCTCACCATGTAGCCCTGGCTAGCCTGGGACTCCATGTAGACCAGGCTGGCCTCGAACTCACAGAAATCCTCCTGCCTCTGCCTCTCCAAGTGCTGGGATTAAAGGCGTGCGCCACTGCAGCTGGTCTCATAAATAATAGCTTTGATGACCCGGTGGAAAAAAAATAGCCTGTGTTTTTCATAATGAAAAAGCACAAAGAGGGGACCGTCATTGTTTACGGTGTGGCAACCCTCTTCCCGTCTGGCTTTAATAGCAGACATCTGGTCCTCGTGTCTGCTTTCGTGTTCAGCCTGTTGCAAATATCACATGTCCTGGGGTTTCTCTGGAAAAGTATCTCTGTGCTCGCAGAAGCTCGGCAGGGCCAGATGACATCGTAGCGTTCCTATGAAAACAACCCTGGCGTGAGTGGGAGGCACAGCCGGGGGTCCCTGGAACACACCTGGGGAAGCGTTGCTCGCCATGGGCGGGATAGAGGTGGCCGTGGTGCCCACCCCCGGGGGGATAGAGGTGGCCGTGGCGCCCACCCCCGGGGGGATAGAGGTGGCCGTGGCGCCCACCCCCGGGGGGATAGAGGTGGCCGTGGCGCCCACCCCCGGGGGGATGGGGGATAGAGGTGGCCGTGGCGCCCACCCCCGGGGGGATAGAGGTGGCCGTGGCGCCCACCCCCGGGGGGATAGAGGTGGCTGTGGCGCCCACCCCCGGGAGCTTGTCTCTGAGAATCCCTGGCTCTGCTGTCTCCCTCAGTGCTGGCAAACCGGACTTACACCGTGAGAGGCTGCGCTACGGCTTCCTGGTGCCAAGGCTCGCACGTGGCAGACGCCTTCCTCCTGGCCCACCTCAACGTGTCGTGCTGTGATGGCAGTGCTTGTAATGACCCCAGAAGCGGTGCCCCCAGGCCGGACCCTGCTCGTCTAGGCTTCATCGTCTGCCTGCTCCTGACCGGCAGGCTATGGGGCGCCCTCCTCTCGGCCTGAGTCCTGAGCCCCAAACCCTGGCTGGACCCAGGGACTTCGTCCTCCCTCATGTATGCCACTGTGTTGTTGTCTTCGAGCCTCAGTTTCTCCAAAACCAGAAGAGAAGTAGGGCAAGGGCTGCGGGCAGCAGGGGGCTCTTGGTTGAGTTAATATTGTTGCTGTCGTTATTGTTATTACTCTAATTTATTATATATATTTATAAATAAAAGATTTTTTATACCAGTGAACAAAGCTGGGCCTCACCTCTTCTGTCATATTTAGCTTTGGGACAATGAAAGGGGGTGTGTCTTTTTTCTTTGTTTTTTTGTTTTCAAGAAAGGGTCTCACTATGTAGCTCTGGCTGTCCTGGAACTCCCTTTGTAGACCAGGCTGGCCTCGAACTCAGAGATCTGCCTGCCTCGGTCTCCCGAGTGCTGGGATTAAGGTGTGTGCCACCAATGCCCGGCTCTTCACCTCACTGTCTTTTTTTGTTGTTTGTTTGTTTTGGTTTTTCGAGACAGGGTTTCTCTGCATTGTTTTAGAGGCTGACCTGGAACTCACTCTGTAGACCAGGCTGGCCTTGAACTCACAGAGATCCGCCTGCCTCTGCCTCCCGAGTGCTGGGATTAAAGCTGTGCACCACCAACGCCCAGCATGTTTGTTTTTTTATGATTTATTTATTTTTATTTTATATGCGTTGGTGCTTTGCCTGCACATTTGTCTGAGGGTGTCAGATCCCCTGGAACTAGAACTACAGACAGTTGTAAGCTGCCAGGGAATGTGAACCCGGGTCCTCTTAACTCTGAGCCGTCTCTCCAGCCCCCCCCCCACTGTTTTGAGACAGGGTCTCACGGAACCCTGAGCCTGTCAGTTTGACTATACTGGCTGCCAGACAGCTCCAGGAAACCTCCTGTCTCACAAGCACTGAAGTTACATTGGGAGTGTGTCTGGGTTTTCCACAGGGGTCCTGGGGAGCTGAACTCAAGCTCTCATATTTCTGGGGCCAGATGCTGTACCAACAGAGCCATATCCAAGCCCCCAGACTATATTATTGCAAATGCCTTTCAAGAAAAAAAATAACAATAATTGAGCCAAGACTGTATTTCCCATGATGCCCTGCAGCAGAGAGGGCCGAAGATGATGTTGCATCAGATGCTTCCTGTTTCAAACGGAAGATAACGTCACCATGATGCCTTGCAAAAGACACTGAGGCGAAGGCTCCCTCTTCCATGATGCCTTGCAAGACACTGAGGCGAAGGCTCCCTCTCCCATGATGCCTTGCAAAAGACACTGAGGCGAAGGCTCCCTCTTCCATGATGCCTTGTGGTGGGGCTCAGAGGATAGAAATGGTCGCCCTCTGGTGTCCTCGGGCACATATTAAAGGCTAAGGTCGCGTTTCTCTATTCCACAGCCTGTTCTAGGCCTCGGTGTCACCGGCTCCCGAGTTGGTCTTCCAGGATCTTTGGCTGCAAGAGTTAAATTCCCTTTGCGCCAACTTAAGCAGCAACTGGTATCCTATAGGGAGGTTACAATCTAAGTAAGTCCTGGGCCTCCTGGGGTTCGCCAGGGACCAGAAGGAACCTGAAAGCCGTGGGAATCAGAGGAAGCGCCTTCCTGCAGACTCCGCCCCCTCCCGCGCTCCTGTGCACATGTGAGTGTGTGTGCACACGCATGCAGACCTGCATGCATGCGTGAGCGGCCTGTTCAACAGGACAGCCTTGGCTGCCATCCCCAGGCCACCTTGGTTTTAAGACAAGTCCCTCTCACTTCTCACTGGCCGGGGGTTGGCTAGGCCCGCTGGTCATCACGCTCCAGGGCCACCCCAGTCACCCCCACGTCCATGATGGACTTACAAGCCAGGGCCACCACACCTCAGCTTTTTTTGTGGGTTCTGGACGTCAAACTCAAGTCCTCAGGCTTGCGGGCCAAACACTGTCTACTGAGTCGTCTCCCAGCCCTCAGAGTCCCTCCCCTCCTCTCTCCCTTTCATCACTCCCTCTCTCCCTCTCTCTCTCTCACCCCCCTCTCTCTCTCTCCCTGTCTTTCTCTCCCTCTCTCTCTCTCGCTCACCCTCCCTCTCTCTGTCTCTCCTTCTCTGTCTCTGTCTCTCTCTGTCTCTCTTCCCCCTCCCTCTCTCTCCCTCTCTCTTTTCCTCCCTCCCCCCTTTCCCTTCTCTCTCCCTCTGTCTCTCTCTCTCTCTCTCCTTACCTCCATCTCTCTCTCTCTTTCCCTCTCTCTCTCTCTCCTTACCTCCATCTCTCTCTCTCTTTCCCTCTCTCTCTCTCTCCTTACCTCCATCTCTCTCTCTCTCTCTCTCTCCTTCTCTCTCCCTCTCTCTCTCTTCTCTCTCTGTCTGTCTGTCTGTCTCTCTCTCTCCCTCCCTCTCTCTCTCTCTCCCTCCCTCTCTCTGTCTTTCTCTGTCTCTCTCTCTCTCCCGCCTCCATCCCACTCACATTTCTCCCAAGCTTTCTTGTTTCTTTCCCTAGACTGCCGACCTGGACTTCCCACATAGCAGACAAGCGCGCCCACTGTGGGGCTGAAGACTAAAAACCCTTGAATCCCTTTCCTCCAGGTCCTCACGCTTTGGCTAAGGATCCACCAAGGCCAGAGCTGCCCACGGCTCCCCTCTCCCCTCTGCGTAGGGCCAGGGAGGTCGGCCCATCCTGAGGTTCTCAGGAAGCACAGCCCACTCTTCCCGGAGCCGGGAAACGGACCCTGTGGGAGGGCTCTTGCCACAAGTAAGAAGAGAGTGAAGAAAAAAGCCGAAGAAGTTCCCACCACTTAGAACGCTCTGGTTGGCAAGCAGGATTGTGTCCACACGCTCTCGGTATGAATCACAGGGCCAAGCTGCACCCAACTCAGAACGGTTGGAAGCAAAAAGGAAATCGATTTTCTCATAGAAGAAGCAGTCGTGACTTAGGGGAACCCCTGGGTTGGTTAACTCAGTGGTTCCACCACGAATTAATTACATGGCCCAGGACTGTCTACCTCATGATCTCAAGATGGCTGCCTCCGTGCCAGGCAGCACACCCTTGTTGGGAGGCATTAGCAAAGGGGTCATTTATTCTGGTGATTTCTCTGGGAAAACGAGGAAAAACCTGCTTTTGAACGCTCAGTGGACAAACCCCGCTGGGTGTTCCATTTCCCTGACTTGTTTAGCCACACCCTAGTGTCACTTGCTTATCAAAAGGCATAGACACCAGAGTAACGAGCAAAGGGGCAGGGTAAGCAGGGGCAGGGTGAGCAGGGGCAGGGTGAGCAGGGGCAGGGTGAGCAGGGGCAGGGTGAGCAGGGGCAGGGTAAGCAGGGGCAGGGTAAGCAGGGGCAGGGTAAACAGGGGCAGGGTAAGCAGGGGCAGGGTAAGCAGGGGCAGGGTAAGCAGGGGCAGGGTAAACAGGGGCAGGGTGAGCAGGGGCAGGGTGAGCAGGGGCAGGGTGAGCAGGGGCAGGGTAAACAGGGGCAGGGTGAGCAGGGGCAGGGTGAGCAGGGGCAGGGTGAGCAGGGGCAGGGTAAGCAGGGGCAGGGTAAGCAGGGGCAGGGTAAACAGGGGCAGGGTAAACAGGGGCAGGGTAAACAGGGGCAGGGTAAGCAGGGGCAGGGTAAACAGGGGCAGGGTAAACAGGGGCAGGGTGAGCAGGGGCAGGGTAAGCAGGGGCAGGGTAAGCAGCTCCCCTTGCCCGGCCAGTGTTTCCTCCCACAGGGGGTGGGCCCAGCAGCTGCCTCCCCGTCATCCACCTGTGCTGATTTCCTCTCTAACCAGAGGTGAACCCTATGGTCCTCTCGGATGCAATTAGCAGAGTCCCGCTCCTTGGCCAGCGGCTTATCTGAGGCTCCAAAGCTGTGCCAAAACACTTTGTCTGGAGCTGGAGAGATGGCTCAGTGGTTAAGAGCACTGACTACTCTTCCAGAGGACCCAGGTTCAGTTCCCAGCACCCGCATGGCAGCTCAGGACTGTCTGTAACTCCAAGATCTGACACCCTCACACAGACACACATGCAGGCAAAACACCAATGCAAACATAATAAAAATTAATATTAAAAAAACCGAACAAAAACCACTTTGACCAAAGCAAGGGATGAAAGAAAGCCTTTATCAATAAAGTGATATCCCTTTATCAATGAAATGATATCCTAACAATACATCAGAGAGGCGTCATCCCGCAGCTGATGGGAGCAGATGCAGAGACCCACAGAGCCAGGGGAACCCCAAAGAAGAGGGGGAGGAAGGGTTGTAGGAGCCAGAGGGCTCGAGGACTCCGGGAGAGCACCACCCACAGGATCAACCTGGCAGGGCTCACAGGGTCTGAGCTGGGTCCTCTGTGTACATGTAAGGTATAACTTGGTGTTCCTGTGGGACTCCTCACAGCGGGAGTGGGGAGTCTCTGACTCCGTTGCCTGTGCTCGGGGCCCTTTTCCTCCTACTGGATTGCCTTACCCAGCCTTGCTCTGAGGGTGTGTGCCTAGCCTTGTTAGGTTGTTATGCTGTGTTTGTTTGATATCCCTGGGAGACCTGCTCTTTTGAGGAGTGGGGGGCGGAGGAGTGGGGGAGGGGCGGAGGGGTGGAGGAGGGGGAGGGGAGGAGAGGGGAGGGGCGGAGGAGGGGGGAGGGGTGGAGGAATGGACCTAGGGAAGAGGGGAGGTGAAGGGGCCTGCGAGGAGTGGAGGCGGGGAAATTGCAGTCAAGATACAATGTATGTAAGGGATTAAAAAAAAATTAAAGCCTTTAATCGGGCTTGTTAGAGTCCTTGATGGAGGGGCCGAGGAATGGTGACAGGGACGCCTGAGAGAGCTCACGTCTTCCCGAGCGCCAGGCAGAGAGAGCCAAGCAGGAACAGTGCCAGTTGTTGGAACCCTCAAAGCTCACCCCAGTGATGCCCCCCTCCAAGGCCACACCCCTCAGCCTTCCCAAGCAGTTCCACCAACTGGAGACCAGATATTCCAATACATGCACCTGCAGGGGCCATTCTCATCCAACCCTCGCCCCCCCCCAGCCGTAGATACTGGCTTAGGGATAGGTGAGTGGCAGCCATCTGGGGGCATGAGACACAAATCCCAGGACCCAAGGGACACGCGGAAGATCCGAGGTCAAACCTGGGCTACCAAGTGAGGCAGGGAGGAGGAGGAGGAAGGGGAGGGGAGGGGGAGGAGGAGGAGGAGGAGGAGAGAGGTGGGGGGAGGGGACTGAGAGATGGCTCAGTGGTTAAGAGCACCCGCTGTCAATCCTGAGCACCGGAGTTGGGGTCCTACCGCACATGTAACAAACACCTATAATTCCAGCTCCAAGGGAGCTGACAGTCCCCTGTGGCTTCCCTGTATGAGAACACACACACACGCACGCACGCACGCACGCACGCACACACACACACACACACACACACAGCCATCGCCCTGTAGCTTTGGCTTGACCTGGCCATCCATCCATCCGTCTATCCTGAGAACCTCATCTTAAAAGATGGCTGGCAGATAGGATAGTCCTGGGGCTAGAATTACTAGTGGGGCTGGGCAGGGGGAGGAACCTCAGAAGAGATCACCTCCCTCACTGAAACGGGGTCTCGGGGAGGCCCTACGGGCCCCAGCTACGTAGTGGAAGCTGGCTTTAAACTCCTGCCTCCTCCTGGGCACTGAGAACGCAGGCGCAGGCGTGAGCCACCATGCCCAGCTTCTGGGGTGCTAAGGATAGCATGGGGTTCTGTGCCCACTGGGTAAGGGATCCCCTCTCCCCTCCCCCCGAGCCTTGTCTCCAGCCCACTGGAATCATTTCTCCTTCACCAGTTGGGTTGTTTTTTTGTTGGTGTGTGTGTGTGTGTGTGTGCGTGCGTGTGTGTGTGTGTCTGTGTATCACGCACACCAAAACCCTATGAACAGAGTGCCTTGAAGGGCCAGGACCTCTCCTCTCCCAGGGACCTGCCCTCCCACAGAGGATGCGAAGCTGACAGATGAGCCAGTCTCTCCCAGAGGGACACGAGTTGGGGAGGAAGACATCCATTAGTGCTTGACTGACTGAGGGGACGCTCACCCCCTTGTGTCGGTGTCGGGAAAAGGTCTGTGAGTTGCTCCCTTGTGGGTCTTGAACACACGGCAACAGTTTCTGTGTTGAAAGTCCATCCTGGGCTGGGGAGCTGGATGACTCAGTGAAATGCTCAGTGTGCAAGCACAGGACCCGTGTTCGAGTCCCAGAACCCATGTGAAACGTAGCCAGGCATGGTGGTGTGTGCTTTTAGTCCCAGGAGCCAAGAGACTGAGACGGGGGCTTTGTCCACTCGGCAGTCTAGTATATTTGATTATCTCAAAGGGAAGAAAAGACACACCCCAGCAGAACGGACACCTAAGGTTCTGTGCCTGCTGCCACACACAGGAACACACACAGACCCATACCAACACACGCAGAGCCAGGCACCTTTAATCCCAGCACTCGGGAGGCAGAGGCAGGCGGATCTCTGTGAGTTCAAGAGCAGCCTGGTCTATAAGAGCTAGTTCCAGGACACAGAGAAACCCTGTCTCAAACAAACAAACAAAAAATGAAAACAAACAAACAAAAAACAAACACAGAGACACACGCACAAATACATAGACATTCACACAGAAACACAAATATACACATAAACACAGATATACACACACCTAAACACAGATACCCAAACATAAGCCGGGTGTTGGTGGCACACGCCTTTAATCCCAGCACTCAGGAGGCAGAGGCAGGCGGATCTCTGTGAGTTAGAGGCCAGCCTGGTCTACACAGCGAGTTCCAGGACAGCCTCAAAACAATACAGAGAAACCCTGTCTCAGAAAAAAAAAAACCCATACACATACACATACACACAGAAACACACACATTTCATACAGAAACATATGCATTCACACAAACACACACACACATATACACATAGAAACACATACACAGAAACACAAACACACACATTCACACAGAAACACATACATACACACAAATACACAGAAACACACATTATACACACAAATTCACACAGAAACACATATGTGTACACACACATAGAAACACACATACACATTCATGCGGAAACACACATATATACACACAAAGACAGAAACACATACATATACAAATACACATTCACACAGAAACACATTCACACACACACACACACTCACACACACACACACACACACACACACACACACACACGAGACATTTAATCCCCTGTGAGCCATTAAGAGGATGGGAACTTAGCCTAACTATGGGTGCTCAGAGGTGGGGCCCGCTGAGCCGCTTAGGATCAATGAAGTCACCAGGGCGGAGCCCTCATGATTGAACACTGACAGCTGGCTAAGAAGGAGACCTCGAGAGCCACGTGTGCTCCCAGTCTCCCGTCATGTGACACCCTGAGGACTCTCAGCCCCAAGGCCAACAGCAGGTGCAGCTCACAGTTTGCCGAAAGAAACCTCCTTCCTTCCTAACTCATCCAGTCTCTGTCACGTCCCGACAACAGAAAACAGGCCAATACACCCTGAGCAAGTGTCCCTGAACAGTGTCACCTTACCCGAGTCACAGAGGTGACTGGCTTGATCACCCTTTCCCCAGTGGGCGTGGTAAACCGATTGGGAATGGAACGAGGCTGCTCACTGCCGTGGTCCGAAGTCAGAGTGGAAAGGACGGAGAGGATGCTGGGAGCCATGGTCCCCCGGGATACGATGCTGGGAGTTTTGGTCCTGAGCTCAGAAGGGATGATGCTGGGAGGCATGGCCCCTGAGACATGGTGGGAGTTTTAGGCCCCGAGGACAGGGCCCTGTTCTGTGTGACGACAACCCTTGGTTGATCTGGATGTACAACCCCTTAGAAGGGATGGAGACAAAAGGGAAGGGCTTTCCAGAAGTGGCCTATGTGGATCCAGGTTACCTGTGGTCCTTGAGTCCTGTGAAAGCAGAGGCCTCTCACATAGCAGTTTCCCACTCTTCTGGGTCATTTAAGCCTGCTTCGGGCCTTCTGGTGTCCACAGAGCGGGCTCAGCGGAACCCACGCCCAAGTGAGAGCATGGACCGAAGTCTGGAGGGGTGAGAAAGCCTCCAGGTTGGGCAGAGGGCCACAGACAGTCAGGGCAGGCAGTGGGGAAAAGCCTGTTGCCAACCTGGAAGGTTGGCCCGGGAGCCTCTCCCTCCCCAGGGTCCAGGATTAAGACTTCCTTCCAGTCTGGCTAGCCTTCTGGGGGCCCCTCCCAGGGAACCAAGACTGAAACTTGAGGCTTCATGATGAGGACCAGACAGCGGGAGCTGCTCCCATTCTAGGCCCTGCCAGAGAAGTCTGTACCTGCCCAGCCACCCCTTGCCAAGCCTCTCTCTCTTTTCTGCTCGGCTGCCACATCACACTCCTCTCCCCCAAAGCTCACACTCACAGAGCATGCCAGCACCCCGCATCTCCGCGCGCTTCGGAGCATCGCCCTCCGAGCGCATCTCCAGAGCATCTCCCACGCACCCCCTGTGGGTCGCCTGAGCATCTTCTGCACAAACGCAGAGCATCTCCCGTGCGGCTTCCAAGCATTCCCCCGTGCATCTCCGCGCCTCTCCCACGCATCTCTCGTGCATCTCTCGCGCACGCTCCGAGCCATCTCCTGCGCATCTTCCGCGTGTCTCCCGTGCAGCATCCTCTGGGGAGCCCCACTCGCCCTGGCTACGCCTGCGCGGACACGCACGCACACCTTTGCACCTTCACGCGACCCTCCCGACCTTCCGCTCTCCCGAGTGCTCCCCCACTGGCTCCCGCCAAGTCATCACGCTCACGCCCAGCCCGCGCGCCCGGGTCAGAGCTCTGTGCTGCGCTTTCCCCCCGGTGCGCGCCCCGTCCGTCCGCGCTCCCGTCCTCCCTCTCCCCGCATTGTCTGGGCCTCTCTCGCCCGGGTCCCGGCCCCGCCCCTAAGCCCACGCCACGCCCACCCAGGCGCGCAGTGGGCGGGGCAGAGGGCGGGCCCGAACTTGGGGGCGGGGCCGGCGGCGCGGGAGGTGCAGGTGCCGGGCCGGGAGCGAGCGGCGGCGGCGGCGGCGGCGGTGGCGGCGGCGGCGGCGGTGGCGGCGGCACCATGGGCCGGGCCCGGCGCTTCCAGTGGCCGCTGCTGCTGCTGTGGGCGGCCGCGGCGGGGCCAGGTAGGGTGACGGGGGTGGGGGCCGGGCCGGCGGGCCGGATCGGGGTGACGGGGGAGCTGTGCGTATTGCGGTGGGGCTGAGGAGGGGGTCGCGCCGCGGTGACAGCCGGGTCGCCCGGGGGCCTGCAGAGGCCCGAACAATGCGCCGGGGAGGGGGGCTGCGGGAGACCCTCGTCTCCGGGACGGACAAAGCGCAGCGCGGGCCGGGAGCCCGGAGCCGCGGGCAGGGGAGGGGGCGCGGGCCCCGGCCGCCGTGCCGCAGCCCCCCCACCCCGCGAGGCCCCGATCCCGCGGGGACAAAGGCCTGAGACCCTCCCTCCCCCCATGTCCCCGAGCCCGCCTTCTCCAGGCCAGTCCCGCTGTCCTTCCGTCCTGGTCTCTCTCTCTCTCTCTCCCCCCCCTCCCTCTCTGCTTCCCCCCACCCTTGTCCTCTGTCCCTCGTCTTCAAGTCCTGTCCTTCCTTCTGTCTGCTCCCCTTCTCCTCGTCTCCCCCTTCCCGTCTCTCCGCTCCGCCTTTGTCCCCCACCTCTGTCCCTTTCCCTGGGTCACTCTGCCTGGCCCCCCCTCCGCTGTCCGCTCTGCTGCCCTCCCTCCCGTCCCCATTCACCATCTCTCCCCCTGTCTCCTTGACACCCGTGTCTCTTCCCCGCTCTGCCCCCATCCGCCTCACCCCCTTGTCTCTGTCCCCTACCATTCACCCGTTCCTCCACCTAGCCGCCCCCTTCCCATCCCGCCGTCCCTGTCCCCCCTGCCCCTCCCCATACCTCCCCCATCGAGGCACCCTCTTTGCTCCTGCCGAGAGGAGTCGGGCGGTGCAGCGGCCGGGATAGGGGACGCAGGCGTGTGGGCTCACACGTGGAGCCCGCAAATGTCTGCCCGAACCTTGCCACCCGTCCACACACCCAGGCCGCACTCCCCGGTGAGCCCCCTCCAGGACGTCACACGGCTCTCTCACTCTGCGGGAAGCTAGAGACCCCCGAGGCAGGGTGACCCTGAGGCTGGGGACAAGGTCAGGAAATGCCACCTGAACGCTCACACTTACCACCCTTGGCGTCTCGTAGCTACCGCGGGACACTCCTCCGCGGTGGGTCAAGTTACTTTGCCTGAGAATGCGCGATGGGGAGGTGGCCTTGTGAACCAGAGCGGGACTGAGGACTCCTTCAGGGAGTTGTGAGATGAACCGGGACCCGGTTGCCCAGGGCTGGGGGCCCTCTTTCCTGTCTCCGGCTCTATCCGGGACGGTGTTGAACTGCGTGACTGACGTTTTAAGTCGAGTATTGTCACACCTGCCGCCACTGCAAGGGTTACAGCTGAGGACGAGACTGGGGGTGGGGGGCGGTGGCAGAGCCGACCTCAGAAGTTCAGCCTTTCTTCTGCAGACGCTCCCTAACTTTCATCTGTCCCTTCTTTGCAACGGGTATGCCCCAATTTCCCAGGTGAGAGCTTGGGACTCTCAGTATGTTCCCGTCCATTTTTATTTTTCTTTATTCTTAGGCGTGAACACTAGGGTCAGAGGATCCTGGAACCAGTGGGTCCGGTAAAGAGAGAGCCTGAGGTTATTTAGAACGTTGCCGCCCTTAGGACGCCTGGGAGTCTTTAGAACCTTAATGCTTTTCCATTTCTGGGACTTGGTTGGGCCTGGTGGCCCTGTAATCCCAGCTGCGCTGGAGGCTGAGGCAGGAGAAGCATGAGTTCAAGACTTGCTGGGATCACTACTTAGTGATACCCTGTTTTGAAATAAAAGCATTAAAAAAAAGAAGAAGAAGGGGTGTGTGTGTGTGTGTGCCAGGAAGGAAGCTTATTAGTAATAGGTGTCTAGAATCCACCAATGAGGGGCTAGGGGTGTGGCTCGGTGAGTACTTGCCTAGGATTAGTGGCCAGTGAGGGTCTGGAGATGTAGCTCAGTGGTAATGCGTTTGCCCAACATGTGAGCGGCCCTAGGTTCAATTCCCCAGTGCTGAAAAAAAGAGAAAGAAGAAGTAAGGTTTCTGGATTCTCAGTGAAGAAAAGGGTCTAGATTCTCAGTGAAGGAAAAGGGTCTAGATTCTCAGTGACGGGACTAGGCCAGTGTCTTGATAAATGTGAAACCATGGAATCCCTACCCATTGGGGTTGTGCAGCCCCTGGGCTCCTTGGACACTTAGAACCCGAATGTAGCCTCGGCTGACTACCTGTCAAATCTCAGGCACTTCTGGGGTTGGCTGTAAGCTCTGTCCCTGGTTTGATTTTAAAGTCGATGCTTCCTGGCCCCTTAATCCCTTCTGTAAATGACCTCTAAATTACATGCTGTGGGCCTTTACAAGCCAAAGGCAAGCTTGGCATCTTGGGGAGAGCTCCAGGCTTGGGTCCTGGCCTAGGCAGTCTGTCCTCTCTGGCATAGTTTAATGCCAGTCTGTTCTTCTCCGGGCCTGTTTCTCCTGCTGGGGAGCGTGGTCCTCAAGGTCCCTTTATGGTGGCTTCTCCTTGATACACAGTTCTCCTTTCTTTCTTCCTTCCTGTCTTTCTTTCTTTGTTTTACTTTTGTTTTGTTTCTCCGTGTAGCTCTGGCTGTCCTGGAACTCCCTCTGTAGACCAGGCTGGCCTCCAACTTACAGAGATCCACCTGCCTCTGCCTCTAAGGGTTGACATTAAAGGTGTGGGTCACCACCGCCCAGCTCTTTTTTTTGATACAGGGTCTCACTGTGTACAGAAAGCCAGCCTTAAACTCGTTAAGTAGCCCCCTGCTGGTCTCAAACTCATAGCGATCCTCCTGCCTCAGACTCCCCAATATTGGTATTACATGCCTGTACCCCCATGCCCAGCTTTTTTTTATTGGATCTATATGAAGGGCCCTGACCACCCATTTTTAGGAGGTTTCAGGGGTCGCTACATCTCCTTACCCAGCCAACAGGAGTGGGAGACTAGAGCCTGCATTTTTGCCTTTAAAAAAAAAAAAAGCCATCTCTCCTGGCTCCCTCATCTGTTGAGAATATGAGGAGAGAAGGATGAGGTGGGGGTTGACAGGGAAAGGTCCAGGTGGATAGAAATAGGTCAGAGAGTGTTTGTCCCCAGAGATGCTCGTGGGGTTGGGGCGGGGGTACCCACAACAGGAAACTGGGTGAGGCAGAAGGAACAGGGAGAGCTGATGTGAAGATCCCGGGAAAGGATAAAGAGGTCCTTCAGACTTGGAGAGCCCCGTGGAGGGGACTTTGCTGATCCCGAGTTAAGTTTCCCTCTAGGATGACTCACTTCTCCCTGTTAACATCCTAAGCCGCGCACAGGGGGAACCCCCTTTCATTGTGGCTCACCCCGGAGAGTGGGTCTTGGGAGATATCTATCGCTGACCCCCGACCCACTCATGGACTGGATGCCCGGGTCCCCGGAGTGTGGGGGTGGAGGTCAGGTTCCACCACAGATTCCAAGCCCTTAGACCCAGCAGAGCTAGGGCCAGGGGTGGGTTAACGTCGTGCGAGCCTGGCCTGTCCCCGACTTGGGGAACACAAAGGCAGCTTTCTCTCTCTCTCTGTGTGTGTGTGTGTGTGTGTGTGTGTGTGTGTGTGTGTGTGTGTGTTGGGGTGGTGTGCTGTATGCAGCCGGTCTCTCCAGCATCCAATGGCCCATGGCACCAGAACTTAGGCGCCCATGGCTTCTGCCCGTAGACACGGGCACCTAGGCCCCTTGGTGGACACCCGGGCAGTGGGGTGGGCTGCCGGGTCTTCATGGAGGGAGGTGCAGAAGGGTGACCGGACGAGTTGTTGGACAAGCGGAATTCGATGGAAGCTTGCATGCTTCTGGGAACCCCACGCTCAGGGTGACCCTCTGAGGGACTCCTCACCCCCAGGCTGGGCCAGAAGCCTGGAATCCAGGGAGTCCCGAGTATCCCAGGAACGTGGGGGCCACAGGGAGGACTTTGTGTGAGGCCGCTGACTCAACCCTGGACGCCCCCACCTAAGGCCCTAGTCCCCAGACACTTGGGAGACAAAGGACAGAAGGCTGGATCCTGGTTTAGAAGTCCAAAGTTTTCAAGAGGGGTGAAGCTGGGGTTCAGACCCCTGTGTCTGAGAGAGGAGGGCCCCTGTGTCAGAGCGGAGGAGGCTGGAGTCTGTGTTCTGTGTCCGAGGGAGGAGGCTGGGGTCTGGGCCCCTGTGTCTGAGGGAGGAGGCTGGGCCTGGACCCTGGGTCCAAGGGAGGAGGCTGGGCCTGGACCCTGGGTCCAAGGGAGGAGGCTGGGCCTGGGTCCGAGGGAGGAGGCTGGGCCTGGGTCTGAGGGAGGAGGCTGGGCCTGGAGCCCTGGGTCTGAGGGAGGAGGCTGGGGTCTGGGCCCCTGTGTCTGAGGGGAGAGGCTGGGGTCTGTATTCCTGTGTTGGGGAAGTTGGGCCTGGAGCCCTGGGTCTGAGGGAGGAGGCTGGGCCTGGGTCTGAGGGAGGAGGCTGGGGTCTCAGTCCGAGGTTTGCAGTGACTAGGAGCCTATACGTGTGGTTACTGAGGAAAGAGAAGCCTCCTTGGCTGACTGGGAAGGGGCTGGGGGTTTCCGAGGGAGGTTGAGCTGGGACCCTGATGCCTAGGTCCTGCAAATACAGACGCCTTCACAAGACTGATCTGCTGGAAGAATTGAGGCTTTGTGCAAGGATGCTCGGACTCCGCCACTGATGGGGGGCAGAGGGGGGTTCAGGCAGGACCCAGGAATGTACCAGCGTCCCAGGGGAGGGAAAAGGAAAGAGGCAGGGTGCCAGGGGCCCCCTGGGGAACGGATACCGAGGGGGTGGCTGTGACCTTCCCAGAACTGTGACCTTGAGACTCCCTTGGGTATTCGCTGACTCAGGACCCAGGAAGTACTCCCCCATCCTGCTTAGTCTCTGTGGAGACGTCCACCAGCTGTGCACTATGGACCCCTGTCTCCTGAGTGAGGGAGGTGGCTGGGCCCGGACCCCTGGGTCTGAGGGAGGAGGCTGGGCCTGGACCCCGGGTCTGAGGGAGGAGGCTGGGCCTGGACCCCTGGGTCTGAGGGAGGAGGCTGGGCCTG